AGACAAGGAAACCGGTACTCATTTGGCTTAGGACATTCAAGAGAAGATGGAAGACGATGGTTTCGTGAAACGTCTCGTTTTCAGTGAAGAAGCCACTTTTCACGAGTGGGATAGTTAAGCGACACAACGTACGTATCTTGGGTACAAAAAATCCACATGCACAAATTGAGAACGAGCTTGTCTCTCCGAAAATTAACGTCTTACATGATGTCTCTCAACAGAAATGTACGGGCCTTCTTTCTTCGCTGAAGCAACGGTAACTGTTAACACCTACCAAGACTTGGTGGAAAATTGGCTGTTGTCACAGCTGGCCAATGATTCCAATGACTACATTTTCCAACAGGACGGTGCTCCCCAACATTTCCATCGCAATGTGAGAGCCTTGCTTATACTGGTCCTTCCGCAACAATGGATTGGACTTGCTGCAGGTGAAGATGCCCCCCTTCTCCGGTAGCCCCATGGTCCCCGGACATAACACCATGTGATTTCTTCTTGTGGGGGTACGTGAAGAACATGGTTTATGTGTTCCACTGCCCTAATCGCTCCAGGATCTCCGAAACAGAATCAATCGTGCTGTGGAGCTATGACACTTGAAATGATGCAGCGGGTGTGGCAGGAATTCGACTACCGCATTAATGTGTGCCGGGTAAGGAAAGATGCGCACATAGAGACACTTTGATGGGTGCACATAAATTTGAAAGTTAAACTTCCGATTGACACATGTTATGATTTAACACCGTAAGAAATACGAAATATATACATATCTGAAACACCACCATTCTTTTAGGAACACCCAGTATATTGGCAGAACCTTCTTCTCAAGAAAGACAGGCGGCCAATTTCGACCCAGTCAGGAGAGGTGATAAGAGAGAGGACACGAACCTATTTGGTTTATAAATTCTAATTTAACAAATTTAAAAAAAAAAAGAAGTAATATGTCAAGAAAGCTACTGTAGTTGTGAAAACTTTGGAATTAGTATCCATTTGTGTATTGTCAGCATTTTATGTACTATATACGGTATATTTTAATACTCAGAATACCAATTGTAATAGTGGTTTCCAAACTGTATCGATGTCCCTCTGATGATGGTCTCTAAGGACCGAAACATGTAAGGGCACGAAGAACTGAAATAAGAAAAGTCTTCACCAGTCACACTGGACGGAATTGTTTTATCTTTTTATAAAATTATTCCTTCTGATTTATTAAAATATGAATTTTATTCAGAACAATCTTAAGTATTTTTCGATCCTCGGCTCAAAATTATTGTAACGTGTTTCGTTACTGAATACACCGTATCGATTGTTAATTGGTTTATTTAACAACCTACAAGTAACGGCTACAATTAATTATAACACTGATACGGGTTTACACACTTTACAAACCCTACACACAAATCTCTTCACACTGTCACGATTCACTCGTTACAACTAAACTCTGTGACTACTACAATTCAATTCAACTCGTAACTCTCTGATGGCTATATTTCAACTCAACTCGCAGGCTGCTGCCTTGAGAACTGTTGATAACACACTGACTCTCGCTTGCTGCTCAGCCGGCTTTTATTCTGTTCGCTGTTGCCTGTTGCATGCCACGTCACAGTAGGAAGCGGTGCCGCGTCACCCTGTTTGCGTAGAGCCTAGCAACGCTGTTACCTCGCGCCGTCTTACGTCACCGCGCGTTGCGCGTTACGTCACCGCGGAGGGTGGGGGAGGGAGCGCTACGTTACCGCCACGTGCCGTTGGGGAGGTAGGGGTCCTCCGTTGCGCAACACGTCACACTGCTCCCTCCTTAAAGTTGTTCGTCCCGAATAGCCTAACGGTGCTTCCCTCGTTCCTTTTCTTTGGAGGCTGTTCTTGCAGCATCGTCTTTGTGTACTTCTACTCTTTCTCTTCTCCCCGTTGCTCTGCTCTCCAACCGCTAAATCTTCCCCCTTTATGTGGTTGCTCGTCTCGAGCAGCTCCATGATAAGGCGCGAGCCGGTCGAGGTGTACAACCAACATCCTCGACGTAGGGGTCTTCTGGATCGGTAAACCACATCATTATCCGGGTCACCACGTTGTAAGGGCCTTCCCATGATGCTTGTAGTTTCGGCGATTTCCCCTTTCTGCGGGTTGGGCGATAGAGCCAGACTCGGTCGCCTTCGTCGTAACCTGCAGAGTTGGCCAGTTTATCGTACCGAGTTTTCATCCGGTCACTGGCAATCTTCAGGTGTTGCCGGGCATAATTGTGGATGTCGTGCAGATGATCCACTAAGTCTGCTGCCTNCGGATTCCCAGTCACGCTCTAGTACGCCGTTTCTCACAGCGAGCGATTTCCACTGGGCCCAGTAGCTCTTGTACGTGGAACTCCGATCCGCGATGTCCTGGTCGTTGGCCGTTTTCCACTTCCTGTAGAATAGGCCCTATGTCTGGGTCTATTAGCTGTTCCTCTCTTAGGGTAACAGGGTCCCAGCCGGCTGCCCGTAGGGTTCCAATAACGCGTATTTGCTTTACCTCTGTCCGCGTCTCAACTTTGTGGCTGTGCACACATTGCTCTTTGCAGGGTCGTCTAGAAAGGGCGTCGGCGTTGTTATGTTTCCGGCCCTGACGATGCTCCGAAGTGAAGTTGTACTCCTGTAGACGCTGTATCCAGCGCGCAGTTTGTCCTTCTAAGTTCTTGGAACTCATAAGCCAGGTAAGCGCAGAGTGGTCCGTTCGCAGATGAAACCGTTGTCCGTAGAGGTACTTGTGAAAATGTTCCAGCGTCCTCACTATGGCAAGTAGTTCTCGACGGGTGACGCAGTAGTTTCTCTCTGCTTTGTTTAGCGTCTTGCTGAAGTAAGCTATGACACGCTCTTGTCCGTCCTGCACTTGAGAGAGAACTCCTCCAATTCCGACATTACTTGCATCTGTGTCCACAATGAATTTCTCTTCTGGCTGTGGGTAGGCAAGAATAGGGGCAGCACATAGGGCACCCTTTAGTGTTTGAAAAGCGCCCTCAACTTCTTGAGTCCACTGGAAGGTTTGTTTCTCTTCCGTTAGTCTAGTTAGTGGTTTCGCAATGTTGGAAACCCCTGAAATAAATCGCCTCCAATATGCGCATAGTCCCAGAAAGCTTCTAACTTCATGTTTTTCTTTCGGGGTCGGCCACTCTCGCACGGCTTTCAAGTTCTCCGGGTCGGTTGATACCCCTTCTGCTGACACAATATGCCCGATGTACCTGACCTCTTCCTACAAGAGTTTACACTTTTCAGGGTTAAGTTTCAGACGGGCTTCCCGGAACCTCTGAAACATTTTCCGTAGGTTGAGCATGTGCTCTTGGAATGTGCGGCCTATTACGATCACGTCGTCCAAATACACAAGGCATGAATCGTACGTGAGCCCTCGTAGGACTGTCTCCATTAGCCTCTCGAAGGTCGCCGGAGCATTGCAGAGGCCAAAGTGCATGACTGTGAACTGCCATAACGCTTGCCCTGTCGAAAACGCTGTTTTCTCTTTGTCGTCTGGGTGTACAACGACTTGCCAATAGCCACTCTTTAAATCGAGAGTTGAAAACCATTTGGCTCCGGCCAGAGTGTCCAGGGTGTCGTCAATGCGGGGTAGCGGAAAGCAATCTTTCTTGGTGACGTCGTTCAGCTTTCTGTAGTCCACACAGAAACGGAGCTCCCCATTCTTTTTCCGGACCAAAACGACCGGGGACGACTAAGGGCTGTCCGATTCTTCTATAACACCCTGTCCTCGCGTGTTTTCGAGAATTTCCTTCACTTCCGCTTGTTTTTCCAGGGGTTCCCTCCTCGGTGGCTGTCGAATTGGCCGGGCTTCTCCCGTGTCTATGCGGTGATATACTCTGTTTGTCCTTCCATAATCTTCGTTGTCTTGTGCGAAGATATCGGCGTACTCGGACACGAGATCCTCTAACTCTTGAAATTACGAGTTACCAGCATTTGCAGTGTAGAATTTGTGATACTGCCAATGGCAGTAATTGTGAATCTGTAAACTGTGTGATTGTATGAGGGAATGTGAAATAAAATTCGCTATATTCAGTACGACGTGAAGTTATTTGTCGCGTTATACATCCAACACGTGACAATTGGTGTCAGGGTTTGTAAAGTGTGGAAACCCGTAACATTGTTATAATTAATTGTAGCCGAGATTTGTAGGTTGTTAAATAAACCAATTAACGATCTCTACGGCGTATTCAGTAACGAAACACGTCACAATATTATAAATGTAGCAAATCTTAAATCTTTAGAAACAAGAGTAATCCTATAGAATTGTTGTGTTGACGGCCCCAGTACCCTTAAGAAATCAAAGTTGCTTGTTGAAACTAAGAAAAAATTTAATGGGGGAAATTCATTCTACCATTCTTTTTCGAATATTTAACATTCTGATTTCTTATTTAAAACTCCCGATATAAAAATATACAAAATGTTACTTCTTTATGTGTGCATGTGTGTGTCTCTGAGATTTCATCTCTGCATTTCGAAATGTGCAGATATTGGGACAGGAGACGTCGAGTAGCTTAGCTATGATAGGATAATATCGAAACTAATTTTGAATTAATATCAATTTCTAATATTTTTAACTGCTTTACAGTAGGGCCCAAATAGATAAAAGCGTAAAACAAAGATCAAATTTTGGTTTCTAAAAATGGCTCAATTTTTGTGATCAGTTTAATAACTATAAACTACATCGTGGAGTTTAGCATTCAGAAAATATCTTGAGTTCGTGTCTTACGTCTTTGCCATACACTTTATAGGGGAATTAAAATTACTCACCACTAAATGCCAACCAAATTTTCGTTGCTTGACCAGTCGATCTGTTACTACTGATTTAACTTTAACTGAAGAAAACCGTACATCAATACGACAGCTGGAGTTTAGGATTCGCCCATATTCCTCTCTCGGTGCACTGTCGGATCGGTTGGAACTATTTTATTTCGCGCTATCTAAAAGTCGTATTAATGTGCCTCGAGTCAGCAAAAACCGCAATGTATACCTCCTCGGTTGATTGAACTCACTTCGTTAAACCTCAAAGGCTCAAAGGCAGTCCAATAGTCCAATACGTAACTGCGTATTTGAGTAGATGACGTCCAGCTGGCTAGACGTGTTCTGATATCCGCTACCTGCTACACAAACTCGAAGAAGTATTTAAGGTAAGTTTCTCTTAGGACACTTAGCGATATTTTAAATTTAATATTAGACAGCACATGGGCAATCATGGAGATTTAAATAACGTTTAAATTAAAATAATTATTTATTTATTTGTTTACCCAACAGCCCAAAAACCAATTATAGTGTAAGAGGGAGCAAAATAAGGAAACACACTAGCAACAAAAAAAAAGGCAAAATAATTTTATTTGAAATAGTTCAATTCTATTTCTCAATTCTTTGTTTATTTACGTTCTTACTTGTCAGCTCAAAGTCAAATTATAAAGTAAGCATGAGCAAAGAGACGAACAAAGTAAACAACTTTTCACAAACAAAAAACAAAAACAATGCAATGTATGTCATTTAGCCGGCATCAATTCCAGAAATATACACATGTATTAAACTTGAAGAGAATTAATATTTTAATAATTACCGGTAATAATGAAGAAAAAAATTATCAACTAATACTAAGAGACACAGATTTGGTTCCAGATACGTAAATGTCCCTGCAACCAACTTCATCGGATGAAGAAGAACAATCTTTTGCTCGAGGAGCAAAAAAAGAACATCGAAAATACTCTGCTTTATCGAGCAGGAGCTGGAGGACCAAGAGTTTCCAAAAGAGGGCAGATTTTGAATCCAAGGTAAACTTGATTAAGTATCATTGTATCTAGCAGAAGCATGTGTGCAATTTTACCTGCTCTAGAGCATACGAAATATTGAAATGTACACGGGGAAAGAAACTATTGAGACAGGGGCTTCGTGTTTATCCTGCATGCCTTTAGTTCGTTAATATAAGAGAAAAGAATTCAAATTGAGACTGAGTAAAGCAAGAAAGGACACTGCTCCGGGACAAATAAGAGAATCGAAGAAATAATTTGCCATACTGCGAAGTCTGTATATAAATACCAGTAATGAAAGTAAGTCCTACGGAATAGCGGGTTCCTATCAACAAAGTTTCGAGGGTCCAATTGGCCTTTCTCCTTTAGGTATATGCCTGCATAAATTAATGCTATGTCCAATAATTACGATGATATAGCCAGCTGTTTCTACTGTTTTATCTTTATTATTTAAGCTAAATGTGTTTTATTCAATTCTAATTCTTGCATCCATAATTTGGTGTTTTAGTATATATCTATTCCACCATATTTGTGGTAATTTCCTCTCTGCACTTCATATACTTTGTTGTTTCTCTGTCAGTGTCCATATTACAATGCTCCATATTGATGGTGGAATGGCAGTAATTTTATAAAGTTTATCCTGCTTATCTTCTACTTCTTATTGGTATCACACTTTTTATTGTCGCAGTTTACAAGCCGGAAGGTCGAGGGTTCAAGTCCCGATGAGGTCATTGGATTTTTTTCAATTGACCTAATCCTTCCGGCCACACTAGGCCCCGGGGGTTTACTCAGCCTCTAACAGAAATGAGTACCAGGAATTAATTAAATAATTTTCCTGGGAAGTGAAGCGCGGCCGGCGCGTAAAGCTGACAACCTTACCGCCATCTCTGAGCCAATTGTCTAGATAATGTGGGACCCTCAACGTCTCACAAACCTATGGGCCTTCACGGCCTGTTACAGGGATAGCTTTACTTTTACTTACTTTATTTGATTAAATTAATTTTAACCATAAATCTTTATTCTAAGATAGAAATATTATATGTTAAATAATATGTGCTGAAGGATGTGTAATGTATAAAAATAAAATCGAAATAAGAGAAAATACAATACTTCTTACACGATGCGTAGTTCCGTTAATATTATATCTCCATATAAAATTTCACATACGCAGCCCGGGCGGCTCCTTGTACATCATCATCATAAATTTCAAAGCTAAATCAGATTTTGTACAATAACCCTTTTTGTGTTTTACATTCTGTAGCGATAATTGCCTATTTTTAATGACCTAAATTTGTTCCGCTTTTTGCCGTCTATCTCACCTTCAGACGGCAAGAAGTGGAACACAAGGCCAGATCCACACAGGGCAGCGGGATGGGGCAATTTATTATTATAATGATGTGATCGATCTACTTACAACATTTAACAATTATTCGACGCTACACAGTCTCTACAGTGACAGCGTCGTTAAACAGCAGGCTTCAAGTAAAATAATGACAGCTGAGTAGCACCGTTGCCGCTCCTGTCTCGGGTGTTAAAGTGACCACCGTGTTGTCATTGCCAATTGAAGGAAACTGGAAAATAGGAAGTTGAAGTGGTCTCAAATAACATAAATTCCGTGAATATCTGCCAATTGGTCTAAACGTTTCAGGCAGAGGGGACAGGGGACACGAAGGGAACATATTAAACACATAAGTGTTTAAATACAAAATATTACATTAAATTAATGAAAACACTCCGATACAGAATTTTTTAAAATGTAATTAAATTATAATCAGTGGCACTTTGCTTCCTTCGGCGTTGTATACTTGCCACTTTCAGAGTTTCCGTTTCAGCAAGTAAGCCATTAAAATTTATGTATCACGTTATTCGACTTCCTGCAACGAGTAACAGAAGACTTCATATGTGGAGGCCACGTCTGCTCATCCGTCCACCGATGATGTAAATCAGCTCCTAAAGTCTGGACAGCTTGGTTTCAGATTCATCATTGGACGCTTTCACTAAAAGATGCTGAGCAATTCCAATTTTCACCCATATTAACCAGTAAAATAGCTTACTGCACGTAAGGTCATATGTAAACCTTTCCGTGTTTGTCATATATCGTTAATAGAATTCTCGTAGACTTAGACGTGTTACGTACGTTCATTTTGAATTTTCAGAAATATACAGGATATTATTAAGTATGCTTGCATAAGGCAATAGGCCGTGCCATGACTCAGGAGATCAGTCGCCGACTTCCCACCGCGGCGGACCAGGTTGGAGCCCAGGTCACATCATGTGGTATTTTTGGTACACAAAGAGGCACTGGGGCAGGTTTTCTCTGAGTACTTCGGTTTCCCCTGGTAATTCTCATTCCACCGATTGCTCCACACTCATCATCTATCATCCGGGACTTGTACAATAGGCCAAATAATGACCAATGAACCAAGTGGACTCAGTGTCACACTGTCTCAAGAAACTAAAATAAATAAGGCTTAATTTGTCTTTTCTTATGTAATTTGCTGTAATTCTCTTTCTCCATTTTGCTCTTAAAATGTGGAACCTGCGTTTTTCACTGAGATATTTTTGGAATATCTCTTCTAAATGGAAAAATAAAAAGAGTAGAGATGGCCCAAGGTAGGTAAAGTATATATTAAATATAATTTCTGGATAGAAACCGGGATTACTTAATAGGTATAGCGACTGGCCACGTACTGGACGACCGAGGGGTCGGAGTTAAAAGTCCCGGTAGCGTCAAGAATTTTCTCTTCTCCACGTCATCCAGACCGGCTCTGGTGTTCACCAAACCTCTTATCGACTGGGTGCCGTAGGCTCTTTCCCCGGTGGTAAAGCGGACATAGCGTGAAGCTGACCACTCCCCGCCAGCTAGTGCCGAGATCAGGAGAATGTGGATATATACGTCCACTCCCCCTTAAGCCTTCGTAGCATAGTGCTCAATTAGTTAAGTCAAGGGACGACTTTACAACTTTACTATTGGGACAATATACCAAACAAATGACATATTATGAAAACGAGAATATATTATAGAAGAAAAATGAAAGAAATCGATTCGTGAACAGAACAGCAATGATCAGGCCAGAGGCTTCACTTTAACGAGATCTGCTCATCAAGTAAAAATGTCCCTCTGCCAGATGTGCTTTAGCCGCTAATGTAGTTTGCACGGATATTGAGGTACTTCGATTCTTCGTCATCTTAAAATATTGTAACGTGTATTAAGTTAGATTCTAAAGCGTTCTGACGATAGTGGATGACACATAAAATTACTGAGTTTTTGGACTTTTTCCATCTACCGGAATTCTAGGTAATAGGGTACACGACGTTTTGGAAACTGGATATTTTTCGTCTTCAGGTGAGAAAGGAAGAAGCCTCTTCAGTTGGGTCCCTTAGAAAGAGCTAATCTTAATCACAATCGTCCAGTGATTTCTTTCTCACCTGAAGATGGAAACACATCCAGGTTCAAAAACTGGTCCTCTATTATCTAGAACTCCGGGAGATGGAGAAAGTCAAAAACCCAGTAATTCTGTGTGCATCGGGCTGCTGTACGTGACTTATGAGACGGATTTTGGATGTGATGATTGACTCTATTGAGCCTTACATATTCACAACTCGGGATTACAAGCAGTAGAGCGCTATCGCTGTTCTGCACACTTTCTAGTTCACCGTCACACAAGCACTAATGTTCTCCGTCTTCACTAGCCGTATCCAAGCAATGAATTTGTAACAGTCTCCTATTTTGCACTACCTAATAAATTTTTTCCATTTATTCTAAATCACATTCGGCTGAAAATTCCAGAACTCCACATCAACTCCCTCAAATGCACTCTTCTTCAGCGGAATTCCCTCAACTTCTTACAACAACTCACTGCTCCCTTGGAACTTCTCATTATATATCCTCGAGGCGGATCCAATGGAAAACGTCTTCTTCTATTATCCCGTATTATTTTAGATGTGTTTACTAATCTGCTGCCTAGTAACAGACGTCCTATTTTTGGCGCGCGTTGGCTCCCTTGGGAATGTGTTTACCGAGTTGTTGCCTAGCAATTGGTCTCGGCACGGACAAGAGAGAAAACAGTTACGTGATAGGTACTGCTGTTGCCTGACGCCTTGTTCGCCGATAGCCTAACAACGCTGTCGGGAGTTGTTTACTGTTGCATAGCAACCGCGTCATCCCTTGGTCACGTCACCACGGGAGGTGGCGGGGTGTTGACGGGCCTATAACCGTAGCAGCGGCAAAGCTCCAAAGGTGTTACGTCACCGCTGGCGGGGAAGGGCGTGTCCTGCGTAGCGAAAATACGTCACAGTATTACATGTTGGTATATTTAAAACAAATTGTTTCATTCGGTCATATTTTGTGTTAGCCATGATACTTCCGACCGCCTCTGTGGTCTAGTATTCAGATCCAGAGAACCCGGGTTCGATTCCCGGTGCTTCCAGTTTTTCTGAGAAGTAGTGGATCTGGAACGGGATCCACTCAACCTCGTGATGATAATTGACGAGCTACTTCAAGGTAATAGCGGCTCCGATATAGAAAACCGAGATTAACGGCCGCGGGTATCCGTTGCGCTGACCATGTGACAATCTCTCTCTGTAAAAGTTGGCATTAACTTCGCCAACAAGCGGCAGTCGCTCTGTCGGTATAGTTCGCTTGCAGACTACAGGCTACGGGGTTTTGTTTGCATGGTTCTTCCAGCCATTAAAATATTACGTTCATTGTACTTGTATATTCTTAAGTATTTGCCTCCTGTTGTGTATACAGATTGAGGGATCTTCTGACATCATATAACACGTTTGTATCTGTTATACTACCAGAATCAAAATTATTGTGACAGCATAAATCCCTAAAAGTAGATATACATATTTTATTGTACTCTATTATTAATTATAAGTGCGATTTGTGTTAATGAAAAAACAATTATTAATTAAATTATATAAACTGCAAATTGAAATCATTCTACAAAAACGAATAATCTTCAAGTTCAGAAGCACAACTCAAGGTGCACTAAATAAAGTGCTATATCACATAAATCTTGCATTTTCATTGATTCATTGCAGACAGTAATTTGGAATACGTATATGTAGGCCATAAATTAATCCTATTAAACATAACGTATAAATCACGATATACATGATAAAAGATAGTCCCTGAAGGTAACAAGAAAATAATGTTTAATTATATGAAATATGATATATATTTAATTGACCGAAATATTAAGGAATTTTAATATACGATTAAGCGATAGATCTCTGATAACATTACGATTAAGGTACAGTGTGTTCCGTTTAACACTCCCCCCACATTTCAATTAATAACTGCGACAAATTGTGATAAAATATTCATTACAATTAACACTAGATGAATGAAAAACTCGAAGAACTTTATATCCTCTTTTCTTTGTTGAAGCTACAGCATCTGGCCGCGTATATCTTGACATGTTAGAACAGTTCCTGTATCCCCGGGTAGCCAATCTGCAGCCTAACATAATCTTCCAACAAGATGAAGACCCCCACATTCGGGTTTGGATGTCCCGAGGTCCCCCAATTCCACCTTCCAAGATCGCTGGACTGGAAGTGGAGGACAAATTCAGTGGCCACCACGTTCACCGGGCCTCACTCCACTCGATTTCTTCCTCTGGGGTTAGGAGAAGTACTGCGTGTTCGTGACTGCAGTAAATGACCTCCCAGATTTACGAGCCTGCATCCGTGAAACGATTGCGACTGCACCAATGGACATGTTAGAAAGAACATGGCAAGAAATTGAACACAGATTGCATATTGTTTGTGCTACAAATGGTGCTCATGTAGAAGTTTATAAGTGTGTCAAATAAAGCTTTTGAGTTCTTCTTCTTCCTGTAGCTTCATTTGCCTAACATTCATAAAGGGGATTGACAAAAATATGGAAACACCTCGTGAAATACATGCTTGAATTGAAATGTTTATATTAGGGACGTTTGTAGGTCACGCTGTCGTATCTGCCCAACATCACTGCCTGTACAACTTCCGCAAAACGTTGCAAGTTTCATATGTTGTCGAGACAGTGTTCTGTGCAATTTTAGTGCATCACGTCACAGCTAACAGAATTCGAACGCGTGAAAATTGTTGGAGCCCATTTGGTGGGTGCTTCCACAAACAAGGTAGCTGAGTTTTTTGGTGTTTCGCGAGGCAAAGTATCCAAGAATATGACCCCACACAAGAGGACTGAAAAAACCGTATCCGATAAACACCAGCGTGGACGGAAATGTATGTTGTATGATCGAGAGAGACGAATATTGCATAGGATTTTGACGTAAAATAAGAAGACTACAGCTTCAAAAGAGACTGCTGAACTGAATGTTACGCTTACAAACCCTGTCAGCACCAAAACAGTACGAAGGCAACTCCACAAACAGGGTATTTCTGGACGAGTTGTAATTCCAAAGCCACTCATCAGTGATCAAAATGCCACTAAGAGCGCAGTGTGATACCGAAGTCATAAAACCTGGACTATGGAGCAATGGAAGACGGTCATTTTGTCGGATGAGTCCACCTTCACATTGTTTCCGACTTCTGGCCATGTTTACCTCTGGAGAACGCCATCCCAAACTTGCGATCAAGATTGTTTGCTGCCAAGAGTGAAACATGTCGGGGGTCCGATCATGGTATGGCAGCCATATAGTGGTATTCTGTCGGACCCATTATTATCCTGCAAGGTCACGTCACTGCCAACGATTATGTGACCATTTTAGGCCACCAGGTCCATCCCATGTTGCAAACATTGTTCCCTAATGATGATGCCGTTTACCTAACTCACATCGTCCAGGACTGGTTTTCTGAGAAAGAAGATTAAGTGTCCCACCTGCCATGGCCCCCACAATCGCCAGGTATCAATATTATTGAGCCTTTGTGGTCTGTTTTGGAGAGCAATCTGCGTGTGTCGCTATCCATCTCCATCATCGATAACGAACTTACAATATTTTTCAGGAAGAATTGTACAAGATTCCCTTGCAAATCATACAGGACCTCTATTTATCCATTCCAAGTAGACTGCAAGCACTTTTGCAAGCCAGAGGTTGTTCTACACCATATTAATCACGGTAATGTGTTTTGTGTTGGGTGTTTCCATATTTTTGTCCACCCCTGTACATTCTGTTAAATGATCTGATATAACGTGGGAGATTTGAATAGAACATTCTGCATAATAGTAATCATTTCAACGCTGATAATTCATTCGTGGATCACAGTTAGGGGAACACCCTTAGCAAATTAGTACAACTTGAAATTTTAACATTAGTCATGATGTCAGTCAAAATTACCGTCGTATCCTAATGAGTCTGTTTCTATTTCAAATTTCAGATTTCTTTTTCAACATATACAATAAATNGGCAGGAATAAGTCCGCTGTTCTGTGCTATACGATGCCGCAATACCCAGCTGGTTAAAGTCCTTATAGAAAAAGGCGCCGATGTCAATGCAAAAATTGTGAATATGGATGGCATTACGCCATTGCATTCTGCAGTGTTGGTTAAAGATGTGGATATTTTTAAAATCTTACTCGAAAATGGAGCGGATTTCACAGCTTTCTGCAACTTCCGTAACCAGACAGTAATTCACTCAGCAGCAGCAGCTGGAAACTTAGAAATGTTCCTTACAATGGTTCGATATAATGCTGATATGTCTGTACAGACAAATAATGAAAAAGGGGATAGACCAATTCACTTGGCTGCCAGTATGGGCCATGTCTCTATCGTAGAATGGTTGATAGAGAATGGGATATCAATGGAAATTACAAATAAAGAGGGACATACACCTTTACATAGGGCTGCTTTTCGTGGGAAAATCCGTGTCGTAAAATTGTTATTAAAGAAGGGCGCGGATGTGAATATTCGCACTAAAAACAAGGAACGCAATACAGCACTACATCTGTCTGTGATTAGTGGACATGCTCAGTTAGTTAAGTTGTTCCTTCAAATGGGAGCGGAAATTGATGCTGAAGATGGAACTGATAATAAGTACACTGCGATGCACTACGCAGCACAAAGAAATGAGTTGCTTTGTCTGATCGAGCTGCAACGTTCTGGGGGCAACATATATATGAATGCGGATTCTAAGAATGGCGAGGCGCTAATAATTACAGCCGCAAAATATGATTCTGTGGACGTAGCGGAATGGTTACTGGACAGGGGAATCCATTTAGATATTCGGGGAAAGGGAGGACGGACTCCTCTTCATTATGCCGCATATAATGATAGTCGAATGGTAACCATATTACTCCTTGACAGAGGAGCTGACGTCCATTCACAAGACGATGAACTCAGGACACCCCTCTTCTGTGCAGTACTTAAACGGCATGCCGAAACAGCAGGGCTACTGCTATACGAAAGAGCCGATGCATACACCGAAAACATTGATCATTTAAACGCTTTTGACTGTGCAGCCATGGTAGGAGGATTACGATGTTTGAAGGTACTGTTGATTGGGAACACTGTGAAGTCCGGTGGAAACAAGTATGGAGATTTTCCAATTCATTTCGCAGCTGCGTACGGGCATCTGGACGTTGTTGACTGGTTAATTGACCGTGGATCAGCGGTGGATATCCGTAATAACATGGGAAGTACACCACTGATCAATGCTTCATGGGGTGGGCATTGTAATGTGGCCAGAATGCTTCTCGACAGAGGTGCAGATGTCAACGCTACAGTCGAAAAAGCAGATAACAGATCAGTTATTCACTCTGCATCATTCTCTGGGAATGCACAGCTGGTTGAACTTCTGTTAGAGAAAGGCGCTACTGTCAATGCACGTACCAGCACAAATAATCGTACACCGCTTCACTGGGCGGCTCAAGAAGGTCACCTGGATATAGTCAGGCTACTTATTAAGCACGGAGCAGATGCCACTGCCCAAGATATTTATGGACTGACTGCAGAGGGTGTTGCTTTTTCTAAAGGCCGTGCCGAAGTCGTGTCCTTCTTCTCATCTCTGAACCAGTGACACTCTTTAACTTCAGGAGAAATAATACAACCTATAAAACGTTTCATATTAATTATTTCCCCGAAACTTATTTAGTCGGTGCCTATCTTGGAAATTAATGAGTTTTCTGTCTACGTGTACATGTTCATTGTTATTTTCAAGTTAACTTAGAAAGGGATGCTCTTTATAATAATATTAAAATAATAATGTTTATATCACTGATAATGCCACATGTCACAGATCTGCAATGACTGCGGACAGGTTATAAAACCATATATATTGTAACGTGTCTGGAATCCAGAAGAGTCACTTCTATGGAAACGCTAGAACAGACCGTTGCATAGGAAACAACAATCGCTCTATTGTAGTTCTAACAGGAGTCTCCACGATTATAACAGAGGGTTCGTTTGCATAGCAGCGGCCGAGGTTATAAAACGGGGTTGAATGCATTCGAACAGTTAGTCTGGATCCAACCGCCGAAGAAGAGAGTCACGGATTATTCGCCAAAAAATCAGTCTGTTATAAGCCGCCGAAGAAGACAGTCCAGTATTGCCGAGATATTGTAAGCAGTGATTGTAACACTGCAAGAGCTGATGATTGTGAAGTGTGTGAGGTGAGCGAGAGGAATAAATCCGCTATATCAAACACGGCGTAAAATTCTTTGGAGCGTGACACACAAAACACGCTACAATATATTCTGTACCATTGTGCTATCAGTAGTATCATTTCTCCTGTTGCTATATTTCATTTTAGGTACAACTAATAATATAGTTTCAAATGCAGATATCTTATATCCACTTTAATTATTTTATTTTTTTTTTTTTTTATATATTCAAACCTATTGCAAATATTCAGAATTATGCCATTGCAATAGGATTTTGTATCGACGCATTGAAGCCGTCGACACAACAACGAAGTGGATGTTTTCATTTTAATAAAATCGATTAAAGTACATACAATATAATAAAGGTTTAATAAATTTTGTCACAATCAGTCAGCCACAGTGCAAGCCAGCAACATATATAAAGCTTAGTCATAATGCTTCAGACTAAGAAGATGTCGGGGTACAATATTCCCAGGACAGCCGGGTACTCCAGTTGTCTCCGATGAGGTGCAGATTTCGTAAACGGTTTTGTAAAGTAAACATTGAGGTATAGGGAGGAGGTGAACTGCTCTGCACTGAATCTGAGCTTATTATTAAGAAAATTATTTGTACTTAATTTTGGTTCAGTTACGTTACAATTATGCCAGAAATGTGCACCAGAAAATAGTATTAAAGCGAGAAAGCGTGTACGCAGGTATTCATGTATACATAAGAAATTGTGTGGAAGAAACATGTAAATGTGCGTGACTCTTGTGTGTTGTAGCGAACAAAGGAGTAGACAAAACTTCTCCCTTCCCATATATTCATTATGTCTTCATGCCCACACACATTTTATTTCTGTACCCTTCTTCGAAATTTGTTGCTACTTAAAACAGCAAAACGATTACTGCTTTGAAAGTTATGGGGTAAAACATTTACTAATAAGTACAATAGCGTTCATAGGAAACCATGGCGTAATTGTATAATGCATTGTATGGAAATACGTGATTCAAGTTTCATCATCATCAGTAATCTGTCAGACGACAGGTCCACAGTCTCTTCCAAAACAATTCCTCCACTTAATGCGATCTAGAGCTTTCTCCTTCAAATGATAGTATTCTCTTCTGTCCCCAAGGTCATCCAGCATCTTCTTACGTCTTCTTCCTCGTCTTCTTGTCACTTCTATCCGCCCCTCTATCTTTCCTTCAATAACTTCTTTTATAAGACAGTTCCTGCGTAAAACATGACCATTCCAATTAGCCTTCCGTTTTCTTATTTCGTGTAAGACATTCCTCTACTCACTGACTCTAATTAACACTTCCTTCATTTCTCACATAATCGATCCAAATGATCTTCTCCATCCTTCTCCAACACCACATTTCGAAACTTTCCAGATGTTTCTGATCTACTGCCCTAAGTGTCCATGTTTCTGCCTCATACAGAGCTATGCTCCAAATGTAGCATTTCACTAATTTCTTCCTCAAATTAAATCCAATTTGCTGGTAAAAAGATTCTTCTTCTTGCTTAATGCAGCTTTTGCCATGGCAATCCTGGATTTAATTTCACTAGTACACCTTCCATCATCTGTTAACAAGCTACCCAAATATTTAAAACATTTCACATTCTCCAGTTGTTTTTGGTCTATCTTTATTGTGACTGGGGTTGGTTGTCTCGAAATTTTCATTACTTTTGTTTTCTCCACATTCATTTCCATGCCATAGCACCTTCCAATTTCAATTAGTCTATCAATCATGCTCTGTAGCACAGTTTCTTCCTTAGCCATTAACACAAGGTCATCTGCATATTTCACAGTTTGAATAATTTGCCCTCCTACTTTGAAGTCTCCGAGCCCATCCAGAGCTTCCTTGGTAAGGCATTCGCTGTACAAGTTGAACAGAACTGATGATAAACAGCATCCTTGTCGAACTCCTCTTCCATTCTGCACACTTCTAATCTCTCCACTGTCCAGTCGTATTCTAACTTTCTGATCCATGTACAATTTGCTAATCAATCTTCTTTCATGCCAATCGATACCTGTTTCTTTCAGGATCTGCATTAATTTGGTCCAGTTTACCCGGTCAAATGCCTTCTGCCAGTCTATGAAGCAAACACACAGTTCTTCATCTATCTCCAAAGTTCGTTCCGCTATAATTCTCATCATCCCAATTGCATCCCTGGTTCCTTTTCCTCTTCTAAATCCAAACTGATCTTCTCCAAGTACATCCTCTATTTTCCTTTCAATTCTTCTTTTAAGTATCTTTGCTATTATCTTTGCTGTATGTGCAATAAGACTTATTGTGCGATGGTCGCTGCATTTTGTAGCTTTTGTCTTTTTCTTTAAGGCAATCATTGTAACTTCTGTAAAGTCCTTGGGCCACTCTCCACTTTCATATATGGTGTTCATTAGTTTTGTCAGTGTTTTCAAACCACCTTCTCCCAGTAACTTGAGCACATCTCCAGGTACATCATCATCTCCTGTAGCCTTTCCCTTCCTCATTTCCTTGATAGATTTTTCCACCTCACTTTATAAAATATGTGGTCCTTTCTCGTCTGTATCTACTTCTTCTTCCGGTTCAACTTCTAAGGTTTCTGGCCGATTAGGTCGATCATATAGTTCTGAAATATAATTTTCCCAAATTTTCAGCACTTGCCTCTGATCTACTATTCTATTCCCCTGGGAGTCTTCGATGCCAACATTTTGAATCCCATGATTCTCTTTCCATCCTAGTTCTTTTGTCTTCATGTACATCAAATCATAACGTCCTGTTCTTTGAAATTCTATAATCTCATTACATATCTTCTCAAGATATTCCTTTTTGGCCCTGTCCGTGGCTCTTTTCAATTCATTCCTCAGTCTCCTGTATTTCCTTCTGCCTTCTTCAATGTTGATATTCTTCCATTTCCTTCGATCCTCCATTTTACTCATTATCTCCTGTGAAACCCATGATTTTCTTGCTATCTTCTCAACTTTACCAACCAAATCACTGATAGTATCTAACATGCATTCTTTTATATTGTTCCACTGCACTTCAGCATTTCCGCTTTCTCCTTCAATTGCACCGAGTTTCTCTTCTAGGGTCTCCTGCACGCTTTGTCTTTGAGCATATAACTTCTCCAAATCTCATCTAGGTCTGCGTTTTTGAAATCTTATAATTTTCTTCAACCTGGTTCGGAACTTGGCAACCAGTAAGTAGTGGTCAGAGTCAATATCTGTCCCAGGAAGCGTCTTCACATCCTTCACACTGTTTCTGAATGGATGTTTCACAAGGATGTAGTCCAGTTGATGCCTCCTCCAATCCCCAGGTGCCTTCCATGTGTAAATTCTTCTCTTTGGCTTCTTGAACCAAGTGTTGGTGACAATCAGTCCATTTCGTTCACAAAAGTCAATAAGCATTTGACCCCTGTGATTCCGTCTTCCTAGTCCATGTGATACAATAATATTCTGATATGGTTCATCTCCAACAGTGCTATTCCAGTCTCCCAATATGATGCTCTTTGTGTCACCTCTTCCGTCTTCCTGAAGAATTTCTTCAAATGTGTCATACACTTTTTCTACTTCTTCGTCTTCATACTCTGATGTTGGAATGTACACTTGCATAATCAGTATATCTACCGGTTCCGCCTTTAACTTCAGAGCAATCATTCTGTCATTACAAACAATCTTCTTAACAACACTCCTCACTACACTTATATGCACCATTATTAACACACCTCTTTCAGCCCGTTCACCTCCGGAATAATTCACTGTATAATCACCACTTCCTATTTCACCTTGTCCTTTCACCGCACTTCGCTGACACCTAGAACAGACACTTCATTCTTCTTCATTTCCGTTTTCAAATTCTCGAATTTGCTTACTGGATTCAAGGTCCTTATATTCCATGTTACAATCTCGTAGCCATGATGTTTCTTCTGGTCTTCGCACTTTTTCTTGTTGTAACGCCTGCATGACATTTCCTCTAGAAACACTTCCCCCGGAGATCCGATTGGGGGAGTAGTTTACCTCAGGATTCTTTTGTCTCCAGAGGAAACATCTCGCATACATGGTGTCTCTGTTTTTGGAAAGATGCTATACAGGAAATGTGATAATATGGTAGTTTTTCCATTTGCTTTCCACATCGCAGTACAGCAGCCGCTCAAACCACTCTGGTCACGCCTGTTGCTATACGAACTTGAACCACCTCGAGCATCATTTGCACTGTGCTTCAAGTCGCTACTGATAACGCTGCTTCCGGCATCAGTTTTTGGTGTCTCTCTTCGTCTGATGCCTACCCTTTGACCTGTCCAGCAAGGGAGGCCCTACCAGTAGCTACGCAACCGCTGGTATAGCTCTCAGGGTCCTTGGCATATTCAAACCCCCTCACCACGATAAGGTGGAGACACCAACGAACACAGCAAAAAAGTAAAGCAATGTCATCAAAATAATATTTTATAGAAATATATTACTACAAACTAACGCGGTACAGAAAAAAATCTCTTTTAGAAAACTGCTAAAAATATATGCTGGAAAACGGGGTGCCTGTTTTCACCAGGCTCAATAATGGCATGACTCCCCTGAATTATTCTGCTGATAAAGTCAGGAGAGAAATGGCATTGCTGCTACTTGAAGCAGGAGCAGATGTCAATTGCAGTGATAAGAAGTTTGTAAGGCCCCTACATTGCGCAGCTTAAGGAGGAAAAGTGGATATTGTAGAAATACTGTGAACGCTAGGTTA